TGTTTTTTTTTTTTTTTTTTTGAGAAGGTAACATATTTATATAGAAGATAAAGTAACCCTTTTCACAAAGATTGTGCTAAGAGAGTACAAAAAGTTTCAAGATCCCCCAAAAGAGCAAAAACATAGTCTTGTGGTAGTTGTTGTGCATTATAACATTTACCATTGTTATGGAGGCATATGGTGCAAGATCATAGACTCTGTACGCTGGTATGTAATGAGTTGCGCATATGTTTGGTAGCATGTCTTTATAACAGTCATTTAGCACATTTTTGCAGAAATTGAATTTTAGAAGAAAATGTTAGTGAGATATTGTAACCCAAAGCTTCAAATATATAGTACACAAATAATTCTTATTAATTTCTTAGTTAGTTTTCACTTTCAAAGTCAATGACGCGTGAACTCAACAATCACTTCTTGTGCTTTGTTGTACTCAGGATTTCGATGGGATCGGCAGTGGATAGTTGTAAACTCCAAAGGCAGAGCGTGTACTCAAAGAGTAGAGCCATCCCTTGCTCTAGTTGAGGTTGAACTTCCAAAGGAGGCATTATTAGAGGGTTGGGAACCCAATCCAAGCTCATATTTAGGTTAGCGAGAGAACTAATTTTATGATCCTTGTTTCCTCTTGCCTATGCTCCATTATCTCTGTGAGTGATTATGAGGAAATTTACTGGTAAATTGGAAGAATTATCAGTTCATGATAATAGAAAAAATCATTTCTTCCTTTCAAATCTCAATACCGTTAAAAGGAGCAAGCCAAAATGTTGTGAATATGGAGAGCAGCAAAAAAGTATGAAAGAAGAATGCAGAAAACGCTTTAGTAAAAGCAGAAGCAGAGGTGCTCCTGAATTTGTTGTGTTTACCCATTTATATAGTACCATTTTTGGTCTGGTTGTTGAACAGGGAAGAATGTTAGTTGAGTATGAGATACGTCACATTGTCAACTCTATCACAGTTAGTTCATACTTTCTTCTTCTTTCTCTAGTATTGATGAAATCAGTTCTAATTGATAATTCTCTTGTTTCCTTTTGAATTTGGAAAAATCCTTCTATTGTTCAGCCATGAAAGACCACTTCTTACTCGGTCTTTCTTGAGTCCAAAAGTTATTTTTTTGTACTAGAAGTTGCGGACGCAGGCAGCGGAAAGTTATCATGTTATATCCCCTCTACTGAAAATAATAAATTCTGAATACAGAACTGAAAAGACAAGTGAAGTTTCTTATTTTGTTTGCATCTTTTGCATTGTGCCTTTAACTGGTTATTTCAATCGCTTTGCATTTCTTGATACAACAACTACGACGCCTCAATCCCAAGTTGCTTTGCTTTTCGTGAAACTTAATTAAAAATAATAATAATAAAAAGAAGCTTTGCATTTCTTAATCTTCATCATTTCTTTTGAGGCATTGTCCAAACTCCAAAAGTAAAGCAATTTTACCTGCAAAAAATGTGAAACTTCACTAGTATCAGTAGTTCACCTTTTTCTGACAGTGATAAAGGCCCCTGGTATGGATGTGCTTAAAGTCCCACTGGTTGAGCCATCTGAAGTAGCAAATGGTGTCTCAGTGTGGGAATGGTCTGGCTCTGCTTTGGATGAAGGAGATGAAGCATCGAGGTGGTTCTCCAAATATCTAGGGAAACCTAGTCGCCTCGTTCGTTTCAATGAAGGTATACTTATGTGTCTGGCTATACTGATGGTTTTGTTACTTCTGCTTATAAATTTCCCTTTGTAATCCACCAAAATTATCGTGTAGTTTGTAACTTCATGGTATTACGTTTACCCTTGAACTGCTTTTGAACATTTAACATTAGAAGCTTCAACCCAGACAGATAAAGATCAATGTAATGTTATCAACACTGTCTGTTTTTTTAAACACTGATCGGCAGTATTTGCTTTCTATATTGTATCTTTTATATTTCTCATCAAATGCTTGTATTCGATGCGGCTTCAACTACCTCTAATTCCTTCCTCCCGGGTATAGAGGGGGAAGGGGGGTTTAACAGAAGGAATCCAAAAAAAGAGAATCATATGGTCTAGAGATTGATGTCTTGAGAAGCCTGTATGTAATCTAGAATATAACAATCTCGGAAATACCAATGGTCTCTGAAACTACTTTATTGTCACTGACTCCATAGTCTAATCATATCTTTTTTAAAGCTTGTTCTTGAACAATCAGTTATATACTCTATTTCTTCCATCTTATTTGACACTATTTCTTTATTAGTCCGTTCCGAAAAGAATGAGATTTTTCTATATTTAGAAATAATTTAACTTTAAACTTCCTATTTTACCCTTAGTGACATGCTTTTATGGCCATAGAAATCGCATGGCATGTTTAAGATCACAAATTCCGAAAGTCTTTTTTTCTTTCTTAAACCCCATATCCACTCAAACTACGCCACATTTATTTTTGAAACGGAGGATGTATATTTAAAGATGTGTGCATCTGAAAGCATGCTCAACCATAGTCATTTCACTCATTTCTTTTTGCTCATGCAGTATCAGAGTCTAGACCTACCGACCCTAATTATGCCCCTGGGTACAAAATTAAATTTAATGATGTGTATCCCTTCCTCCTTATCTCCCAGGTTAGACAAGTTATCATTAACTTATTATTTCTTTCTAAAGATGAAATCTTATCTCTCAATTTGTTTTTATTTTCTAATCCTGTTTCCTTTATCTTTGGCAGAAATCACTGGATACATTAAATGAACAACTCAAGGAGCCTGTGTCAATTAACCGCTTTAGACCAAAGTATCTTCTTGCTCTTATTCAACCTTTTAATGGAAGTAATTAAATTTTTTCTTCCAATACAGTGATTTTATATCGAAGGAGCTTCTGTTTGGAAGTACTAAAGAGGTCAATCCAGTAGCTTAATTCTTTCATCTTTATTTATGACATTGAAGCCCTGAAATATGAGCCTATTTCCTTAGAGTAAGAACTTAATTGTTGCCTCAACATGACTCCTCTACATGGTCTACTCGTTAAGCTAATGATACTGGCTTCTTTGGAATAAACGCTCTGTAAATGAATCTTAACGAAAATCCCCTAAACCATCATTCATTTCTTTTGTTGTCAACATAAATGGTATTCTGTTTTCGCATCAATTTGTAACATCTAACTGTTGGATGCATGCATACAGCATCCTCGTTGATGGATCTGAGCCATTTTGTGAAGATTTATGGAAGGATATCAAGATAGGCGAAAATACATTCCATAGCACGGAGTTATGTTATCGCTGCAAGGTAAATGGTATCCTTTCTCTAAGTCTTGATAATTGCCATTACCAGTGGCGGATCTAGGACTTTTAAATCATCGGTGCTCGGCTATTTTTAATCTGGAAATTGGTACTGAGGCTGGTGCTCAGTTAATATATTTGTATGAATTGCTAGTTTTTCTATATAAGTAATGATGTTTGGATCCAAAAGTAATGGGTTCTTGAACACCCATACCTCATTGGCGTTACTTTGGGGGGATTTTCAATTGTAAAAGATTGAAGGAATGTCATCTAGCATGTTTGTGTCTGAGTGTTTGCATACTCACACACACAGACACACACTTAACATATGCCTGCGAATAAGCAAAAACATGCTGAACATTTTTCGGATCATATTCCATTTACAATAAAGTAACATAATGGAGGAAAAAGGGGTTGCAAACTTATATCAAAAGTAATGCTTTGTCGTCTCAAACTTCTTGAGGTTGAAATTCTCAGTGATGAACTCTAGGCTCTGTGTCAGAAGCATGAAATTCCACTTTGTTTGCCCCTACTGTAATTTTTTGTTTATGAAACTCTTGGTTCTTATGAAGCTCCAATGATAATAAACTTGCCTTTGGAAAAAATATCCTAAATCACGTACATCAACGCTCATCTTCTTCGTTAACTTTTCACATATCGCCTTCAGGTTCCCACAATCAATCAAGAAACTGCAGAAGCAGGTTCCGAGCCAAGTGAAACACTCATGAAGTTTCGTTCAGATAAGATCTTAAAAACAAATAAGAAACCGCAAGGACGAGTAAGCAAATTAAATAAGTTCTTGTGTTCATCATTCACTTGACGACAATTAAATTGCTAAAATTTCATTGAATGCAGATTTACTTTGGTCAGAATTTAGTGTGCGTAGATTCCCTTGCTCAAGAGAAGAGAAAGACCATCAAAGTGGGAGATCCCGTTTATGTCATCAAGATGGTCTCGTCCTATATTGATGTATCTGTTTGAGACTACTATATGCAGTCATTGGCTTTGAGGAGACTTTGAGAATAGACAAAGCATGATATAATAACAAGCACTTGACAAGAGACTAAAAGAGGAGTTGGAAACTATATAAGAGCAAGATTTGTGAATTCTTTATATTGATGATTGTTACAAATATGAGATAAAGAAATGTATGTGAATGTTATAACTACAACAAATAATTGTGTGCTTGCATTTATTGTGATAGATCTTTCCTTTACTTCTATGTCGTGCACTTTTTGAGTGAGTTGTGGACTCTTGGTCTTCTTGTTCATGGTGCAATGTATTGGGGTGAACTTGACTCCTCAACTTCTTCATATCATTATTTTCCCGACTTCCAACATAATTTTCTTATCTTCCAACTCTCCCTCTCAAGTTGGTGCATATAAATCATATGTACCAAACTTGTCACAAATGCATGGACTATGAGGTCCTCTAAGAGCTTGGTAAAGATGTTTGTTAGTTTACGTGAATTATGTTATAATTTCGTTGAAAGAGCTTTTTTCCCGACAATGTGGCAGTTTATTTCTATGTGCTTAGTGATTTCATGAAAGATTGTATTTGAAGTAAGGCGGGCAAGTGAGCTGGTCCAGGACCGGCCCAGGACCATGGCCCATGTGGGTAGTGGACCTAAACGGGTTGAACCGTTTAAGACCGGGACCGGGGGAGGTGGGCCGGTCCTTATCTTGAGGCCCGCGAGACCGGACCATTTGAGACCGGGACCGGACCGGTCCTAGCGGGCCTAAACGATCCCAACGGCCATAATTTTAAGAAAAACAATCTGCCCGTCTGGGCATTTAAATTCCTCTGCCAAAATAGCCGTTGGTTATTTACAAAAGTCATTTAACCCCCCAACTTTGTTTTAACCTCAAACTTTTTATAATTACACTTTTTCCCTATTTTTAACTATATATACCCCATCATTCTTTCATTTTTCTCACAAAATCATCAATCTCTCTCTAATTTTCTTCTATAGAAAAATTGTGAAGTTGGTGAATTGAAGTCTTCAAGTATTCAACGATAATTAATTTTCAACAAGTTGTTCGTCAATTCGGTAAACTCGTTCCAACTCTTAAGTTTTAATATTATAGTTTTGTTTGTTTTATTTATTTTAGATTGCTTGATTAATTAAGATGGCTTATTCCTTAAAAAAATATTTAGTAAAAATAAGGGAAAATCCAAGAGTGGTGAATCTAGTGGCCAATCTGTTCCTCCTCCACTTCCCCCGGCTCCCTGACACAAACCTGTTACCCGTCCTACACCTGCTATTCTTGATAGCGATAATAGTTTATTCCAATTTACCGAGAGTCAATTTTGCCATAATATTGCACCCGGTGAACAATTAAACCATGAATATATGAATGCTCTTTATGGTAATCCAACTATTGATGAAAATGATGATGAAGAAATAGATTTTGATGAAACGCAACTGGATGACGATACACACACTAGTCCTGCTCCTGAAGTTAACCCAACTAATAATAATCCAAATGATGCCTCGTCTGACCCTCCTATTACTGCTCCTACTTTTCTAGACAACCTTTTAAACGGACAGAAATATCTGTTGTTTGGCTATTTTTTACTCAACTAAGAGAAAAATATAGGGCTAAGTGTAAAACTTGTGGCAAAGAGTTAGCTTTAAAATATGTTGGAGGTCGGGGGAAGGGGAGGGAGGGACGGGAAGTTTGACTAGACACATATTGCTACACCCTCAAGATAAAGTTAGATATTTTCGTATGAAAGCTTTGGCCGAGGGGACAAATGTACCTAGTCAGGCTGACCTTAGTACCGGGTCAAATCAATTTCAACCGGGAATTAACACTGTTACCGGTGGTATTTTATATTATGATCCAAAAAAAGATCGGGAAGAATTGGCAAAAATGGTTACTGTTATGTGCTTACCCTATAGTTTTCCTTCTAACCCTCACTTTGTGCATTATATTAGAAAAGTTTTTAATCCTACTTATAAAGGTTTTTTCTAGCACAACCGTAAAGAGCGATATTTATAAATATTATGGCTGGCATGTGGGCCGAGCCCGGGCCTAATTGGGCTTCGTGGGCCAGTCCTAAGTGGGCCCGGTCCCAACTTTAACTCAGTGATTATAGAGCGTCTATGAGGGAGCGCTTGAAAAAATCAGTACTTTTCAGAGATTGGATCCGTTCGGAAAGAAGAAATTTTGGACTTGCTGAATCGCAACCAGAGGTAGACGAAGCTTACGAAGAAATGCTAGCTGAACTTGCGGAGGATGCTGCTTCGCCCGGAAGCGGTAATGACCAAGCTTCTTTTCCTCCACCACCAACGGAAATTCCTCCGGACCTTGAAGGATTTATGAAATTT